TTGATTAACCGATTTGTTTCAACTATCAGCCAATAGCTCCTCAACAAAAACACTCTATTGTTTAAATATCCTCCAACCAGACCATAGAAGAGGTATAGAACAGACCTTTGACATACCAAACCCTCTATAGAATGAAGCAATTTCCAAAGGAGCACTTTGAGAGTTCCACTCTGCTCTGAATTTTCTACTTGAGGAGATGTATTGATATGTTAACATCAGTTCTTGTTTTTTTCAACTTGTTTACTCTTAGTGCCACAAAATAAGTGTTTTAAATTATTTTTAAATATTCCTTTTTGGATTTTAGTGTTCCTTGCACAAGAACAACTTACAAATAATGACATATGAATTAGAACAAGAACAAATGACATTTGAATAAAGTATTCACATACTGTTTACTTGTCAATGATTATGTCTTGTTTTATTTCTGTTTAAATGAAGATGGGTGTTGTTTATCACCCCCTCCTCCCCTTCCCCCCTAAAAAACTTGAAAAATTTGCGGGAAATTTTATCCTGATCAATGATTACTGAGTAACCCATACCTGCAGTTTCATTTCTTATCTCTTTTGTTTCGCAAGCATTCTTCCTGTCTTTTCCATTTCGACAGTCAAAAATTTTTTGCCCCAAAACAAAATATGGTATGGCATCAGATTTCAATTTTTGATCTTCCTATATGACTTTGTGTGTTGTAGTTGATGGGTCTAACACAGAACTATAATTTAATGTCTGCCAACAAGTGATTTTGTCACTGGGTATTCTTAACACTCATAACGTGAATTCTAACCCAGTCTTGTAAAAATCATATTGGAGAGTTTGTTGAAACATACACTATACAAGGTCTGTTAAGCCCACAGGGGCTTATGGAAGTTCAGACCTCATTGATGGGGGGTCTATTTGAAGGGGAGTAATAGAGAGGGGAGGAGCATAGAGGGGAGGGGGGGTGGGTGCTTCCATTGTAACCTAAAAACTCGCAATTCATCTTAAAATAATGAAATATCTTTGTTTGCTGAAAGAAAATTTAAATATAACAAATTGATTGGTGATGTATTGTGCAGTTCCTTCTCCCAGTGCCTTTGTAGCACTAGACCAACTGAGGATTTAGTTGGTTCCCTTTTATAGTAAATAGATGGGAGAATAACACAGAATTTGGCTTATTTGCACCGTCAGACTAACCGATACTCCCAAAGTTGTCATCCACCACCCAAAGAGTGAACGATGAGTTTGTACACAACTCCCATTCTTTGACAATTTCGTCGATCTTGTAAGATTGGTAAACGTAGCCGGACTTGCTGGATAAACGTACACGAAAATCTCCGATAAATGAGATGAAACATCTGTATCGCCTACCATTGCCCAAATAAAGAAACTAAGACATCAGATTATTTTTTTCTGGGGAATTCGAAAAAGCGCGCGAAACATTTTTTTCAATACCGGAACCGGAAACCGATTTCGGAAGGGCACATTAGGGGGGTTTGAGCTATGGAAACAAAGCAAATCCGACGTGCAACTACTCGTTTCCATAGCTGAAACCGCCCTTGAGGTTTAGTGTCTTTGATTTCTTTTTTATCGGCAAAAATAAACCTTAAGCGACAGAACTATGCTGGATTTATGTTTACTAAGCCAGATGTTTTCTCTTGACTCAAAACACATACCAAGTAGACTTAAAATTTGTGCACAGCAAGAACATGGAACGTTCGGAGTCGCAAATCGTCGGTAGTTCGGCGCTAATTATGTTCCAGTGATTTAATTTCATTCCCAGGCACCTCACGTCCAAGGACACTTTGAGATATGGAAACAAGTCTGTACCCACGTTTCTATGACTCGTGGCCGCCATCTTGTTTAAAAAATTTGATTTATACAAAATGCATAAATTAGTAATGGACGTCACCGGACGACATNTGAAAAGGCTACAAATTTTTGTACTACTTCCTCATTAATCACACTAAGGGATTTAGCTTCAATTTGAACTACATCCAAAAAAAAGAATTTGTTACAAGCTTGGTAGCCTATTCCTTTTTAAACCAGTAGAGTGAATTGACTGTTTTATGACAATAATACTAAATTATGTTATTGCCTAATTCACAATGTCATAAAAATTTGTAAAAAATCAAAAGGTAGAAATGTTTTATTAAAGTTGTTGTCACTGTTTTCAAACTTTGTTCTATGTTAATTGCTTTTCAAAAAGAAAGAGGAGTGATTTGAGACTTTCCTACTGATTTTACGATCAATTTGTTTGGAGAATTTCCCATCCACCATGTTGATCCAAAGAGGAAGCTAAGATATTACAAAAGCTCAATAAGGCACTGTTTACACGGACACGGTTTCATTTGTAAGCGCATCGGTTGCGATGCGATTACGCCTTTCGTTTACACGGCGCCGGTCGAGTTCCTTATCAGAACCGGGTCGTTCTGAAAACGATTTCAAAAGTAGTAATTCACTCCTGGCAGATGCAACTGAGCCAACCACAGGCAGCCCAAGCTCACTACTAGAAAAGCGGACGTGACTCTTACCGTGTTGCGCAACGTTTTATATTTATGAAGGTTTGTATGGGATGTTATCGGTTTGCCTTAAAAGAGAGCAAAAAATGTCTTGTTTTGAAATAAAATGGGCTTACCTGCTAAAAGAAAGCAGTTTGACACCAACATAGCGCTAACTCGCCGAAAACGCTTCAAAATGGTCGGAGACGCTAGGAATCAACAAAGAAAACAACAAGGCAATAAGGTAAGCCCATTTTATTTCAAAACAAGACATTTCTTTCTCTCTTTTAAGGCAAACCGATAACATCCCATACAAACCTTTATAAATATAAAACGTTGCGCAACACGTTAAGAGTCACGTCCGCTTTTCTAGTAGTGAGCTTGGGCTGCCTGTGGTTGGCTCAGTTGCATCTGCCAGGAGTGAATTACTACTTTTGAAATCGTTTTCAGAACGACCCGGTTCTGATAAGGAACTCGACCGGCGCCGTGTAAACGAAAGGCGTAATCGCATCGCAACCGATGCGCTTACAAATGAAACCGTGTCCGTGTAAACAGTGCCTTATTGAGCTTTTGTAATATCTTAGCTTCCTCTTTGGATCAACATGGTGGATGGGAAATTCTCCAAACAAATTGATCGTAAAATCAGTAGGAAAGTCTCAAATCACTCCTCTTTCTTTTTGAAAAGCAATTAACATAGAACAAAGTTTGAAAACAGTGACAACAACTTTAATAAAACATTTCTACCTTTTGATTTTTTACAAATTTTTATGACATTGTGAATTAGGCAATAACATAATTTAGTATTATTGTCATAAAACAGTCAATTCACTCTACTGGTTTAAAAAGGAATAGGCTACCAAGCTTGTAACAAATTCTTTTTTTTGGATGTAGTTCAAATTGAAGCTAAATCCCTTAGTGTGATTAATGAGGAAGTAGTACAAAAATTTGTAGCCTTTTCATCGTATTGAACTTGATATCAAAGGAAGTTTTAAAACTTGTTTAGTAAGTGACCAAGTAGAGGTCACTGACTGGGCTGAATGGCAGACCACACTTGGTTTTATGCGCAATCTCGGAAAATCGCAATGTAATAGGTTATGTTGTAGCTTCAATTGCCATTCAAAGAGAATATGTTTAGATCGCTTGTCGAAAGTAGTTTCATGTTAAAAGGTTTGATACAATTAATTCAAATCTTGTAAGGCATAGTGATGTTGAGTCTATTCAAATATCTGAATACGATGGTTTGAATAGTCAGACACAACTGTTCGACCATCGCTGAGCACTGCAGTAGAGATTGGAACATTAAGTTCTCCTTTACTCTCTCCTTTTGATCCAAATTTAGTCATAAACTTCCCACTTAACTCAAATACCTGAACTCTGTGATTTTCTCTGTCACAGACCATCAGGTGTCCTGCTTTGTTAACTGACAAACAAAAGGGGTGATTGAACTCCCCATCTCCCTACCCCTTCTTTCCAATTCTGTACAGAAAATGACCATTCCTATCAAACACTTTGATACAGTGATCACGAGTGTCTGACACCATGAGATATTTGTCATATTGCACACAGTGAAGGGGACGGGTAAAAGAACCCTTACCCCCTATTTTACTTAAATAATGGCCATCAGGAGAAAATATCTTAATTGATTTGTTACCAGTATCAGCAACGACAATATTGCCTTCGTTATCTACAGACAAACCATGGGGTAAGTTCAGCTGGTGATCAAGATTTCCTGTACCACCGATCTGGCTGAGGTACTCGCCCTGCTCACTGAACAATTGAACACGGTGGTTAGCAGTTTCCACCACTATAATGTTATTATTCTTAATACATGCTATTCCACTAGGGCGGTTGAATTCTCCCTGGTTATCACCATTTCTACCAAAAGATCTCAAGTAAGTTCCATTACTACTGTATACCTGAACCCTGTCGTTACGGCTTTCCGTGACCGCAATTTCATCGCGTTCATTCACTGCCACTCCAAATGGTTGTTTGAACGTTCCAGCAGACGAACCTTGTTGGCCAAAAGATAACACGGGTCTGAATTGTCTGGGTCAGGTTTTGTTAAAATCAATTCAAATCTTGTAAGGCATAGTGATGTTAAGGCTACTCAAATATCTGAATACGATGGTTATAAAAGTCCGACACAACTATTCGACCATCACTGAGCACTGCAGTAGAGGTAGGAACATTAAATTCTCCTTTATTCTCTCCTTTTGATCCAAATTTGGCTACAAACTTTCCAGTCAGCTCAAATACCTGAACTCTGTGATTGTTTAAGTCACAGACCATCAGGTGTCCTGCCTTGTTAACTGACAAACACTTAGGTTCATTGAACTCCCCATCCCCTTCCCCCTTCTTTCCAAATTTGTACAGAAAATGACCACTCCTATCAAACACTTTGATACAGTCATCACCATCGTCTGACACCATGAGATATTTCTCATATTGCACACAGTCAAAGGGAAAGGTAAAAGAACCATCACCTCCTATTTTACTCAAATAATGGCCATCAGGAGAAAATATCTTAATTGATTTGTTACCAGTATCACCAACGACAATATTGCCTTCATTGTCTACAGATAAACCATGGGGTAAGTACAGCTGGTGATCAAGATTTCCTCTACCACCGAACTGGCTCAGGTATTCGCCCTGCTCACTGAACAATTGAACACGGTGGTTAGCAGTATCCACCACTATAATGTTATTATTCTTATTACATGCTATTCCCCTAGGGCGGGTGAATTCTCCCTGGTTATTACCCTTTCTACCAAAAGATCTCAAGTAAGTTCCATTACTACTGAATACCTGAACCCTGTCGTTACCGTTTTCGGTGACCGCAATTTCATCGCGTGCATTCACTGCCACTCCAAATGGTTCCTTGAACGTTCCAGCAGACGAACCTTGTTGGCCAAAAGATAACACGGGTCTGAATTGTCTGGGTTTCACTTGAACCGGAAAGGGACTGTCTCGAACTTGTTCTTCGTTTACTTTGACTACTGCCCTGCATGCTCCGGTTTCCTTGGCAAAATAGCTGATCTTGTAGTTGCCACTTTTGTTATCTTGGACTCGCACTTCCGTCGCACAGTCATGGCCTTGTTGATTTTCGATTTCCACCGTTACTCGGTCACGGTTTTGATAGCATTGTTTTCCTTCAGCGTTTCTAGTTGTTAACACAAAGTTGGCTTCAATTCCAACAATCGCTTCAGTGAGTCCCGTTCCTTCAGCAACTGATTGATCCGCTTTCGTCTCACTGAGAATCGTTTTTATTAATCCTATCCCTTCAGCGATTGCTTTTGTCTTCAAGGCTTCGTTTTCCTCGAAAATAAGTTCACTTAAATCTTCAAATTCGTAGTCGATCTCATCTCTCTCATCGCTGACTCTTTCTGGGAGTGATGTATCTTGTGATTCATCTAACTGTGCAAGCTCTGCGTTTGTGCTTCGCTTTATTAGTGTTTCAGTTTTTCCTACTGCTGTTTCGATCGTTTTCACTTTGTTTTCAATCTCGTTTCTTCGTATTCGTAAACTTTCCAAGGATTGGTGCGCTTGATGGTCCGCCTCATGAAAGATTTCCTGTTTCTTCGCTTCGATGACAACGATTATGCTCTCTGCAAACTGTTGCGCACTTCTTTTTACTCTGGCGAGTCGTGTCTGGATTTTATCACAGCTTTCGTCAAGTTTGGAAATTTTGTTTCTCATCTTTTGCGCTTTTTTCTTCTTGGAGTCAATCGCAGACATGACTTGCGATTTCTTTTCATTTGCCGCTTCTTCTAAGAGTATCTTAACATGTCCATCGTGAGTGGTTGCTACGCAAGAACTGCAAATGGCTTGTTTACATTTCTTACAAAAGAATTCCAATTCTTTCTTTTCGTGGCCCGGTCGTGGGCAAAATGCTGGTCGTTTTAACACATTCGTGATGTCTTGATCTTGAAAATCCTTAAGCGCAAGAACTCGATGGCCTTTATTGGCTTTGATTAAGTTATGCGCATTGATACACATGTCACACCAGAACGCACAACACTGAAAACAGTACGAACTGTGTCTGCTACTTTTGTCGCAGTTTCCACATTTCACTCCAGCAGTATTGCAATCTCTGATGGCCAACACATCCAGTAAACTGTTGATGCGAAAATTGGTGGGCAGATCGTGAAGATTTCCTCCAGGGACTTGACTTTCCCTTCGACATTCAGGACATGTTATGACGTCATGGCGGCCACTCGTCCTTTGAATTCCTTGTAAACAGTGAAGGCAGAAACTGTGCAAACATGGCAGCTGTTTAGGTTCAGTAAATGTGACCATACACACAGAACAGGATAGTTCGTCGTGAAGATTGTGAAGTAAGGTTTTGATATCCATGATTAGTGTTTTTAAAGGAAGGCTAGAGCTGGAGCTTCATGTATATAACAGGCCTCAAACAAAGTTGTCTCAGTGTAGCTAAAAAGCTATTAATATTGACCAATTACATGAGATGCCTGAAGGCATATTTGATATGCAAGATTTCTGAGAACTGTCAGTGTAAGATTAGCTTGACTTTATACACTCAAAGGCTTGAGCAGCTGTAGACAGACATGTTCTTTATCAGGGGATGGACAGTGTGTCACGGATGACCGTTCTTATAACTCTTACCAATCCCGAAGTTTTTTTTAGGTGTTTTGAAAGAGCGTGACTTTTAAGAAAAGTTGCGTTAAGCTCTGAGGTCAAATCTGTGATTTATTAGAATTATATGCCGGCGCAATTTGGAATTAGCCATGTAGAGAGAAATTGGTATTTGACTTTATCAAGCGTCGTTTTTATGTAGCTACGGTGTTGGAACATTGAATCTGAAATTTTTATTCTCATCTTTCTCTAAAGCAGTAGGGGCAAAATTCCCGAACGTATTTAGATATCACCAGCCCGATTTGAGCACTAACAAATACCATTTTTATCGAATGATTTATTTATGATTTCGCCGGGATTATGACATGTTTACTTGAGCGCGCTGTTGTCGCACGTTTCGTCGATTTAAGTGTTGTTTATAACGAAAACGTATAAACGATGGCTATTTTGTTTCTCAAAGTGTTGATAACTTGGTAACACGACTTTGTTTTGTCCAGTTTCGTCATAAATCATGCTCGTAATTAACAAACTGGACTCCCCCTTTGCGGTCGTCCGATTTTTTGAATGACAAGTATGATTCCGAACCGAATTGGACTCTACTCACTCCCTTTACTTGTAGTGAGAAGATACGATTTCAACGGGGACGGCGACTAGAGAACGCCAGATAAAAAGAAAACCTTTTCTCTTTCGGTTTTCTTCACCACCTTAAAAATGCGACGATGGCATTTTCCATATTGAAATTAAGGAATCAGTATGGAAATGCCATAGTTACTTTATCTAAGACTGAAATTCGCGTCTCAACATATGAAATTTCAGCCAACAATTTATAGGGACCCAGTGGTCTTGAAGGTTTACTCATACATTAATATTTCCTATATAAAACTAACTTACTTCGCTTATTTGTTAGGACTCGATTAAGCAATAGCGGTCCAGCAAATAGATCTGACGTGGACGTGCGATACGATTATCGGGTTGTTTACAAGTAAGTTACTTCTAAGCGTACATTAAATTTACCTTATAGATTTATAAGGTATTTAACCGCTACAAGTAACCAAATGATTAGCATGAACAAACCTTGCCAAGTGTAACAAATTTGTGCAATGAGAAGATTTATTCTCCCTTACCTCAGCATTCCTTTTACTGCCCCCCTGCCTCCCCCACCTCAAGCTACCTTCTTTTCTTTCTCCTCCTCTCTTTTATATCACACCCCTTCCATTCCTCCCTCCTAAGCTTGACGTACCTACCACCCACTATTAGCATTGCATCACTGAACGAAGAGTTGCTGGAACACCGACATCGCGCAATGTTTTATTATCGTACTTGATTCACATACAGTACTGAACACATTACAAAGCCATATATCACTCACGGTAATCAAGTGGATCAAGTCGATTTACTTGTATTTACTGCTGATTATCTCAGTCAAATGCGTCCATGCTTGCACATCGTACGTTTCTTATCAATATGTTCTCGTTTTACCTTCTAACCAAATTTTCTCAGGCATTTCAAGGAAGAGTTTTGCTGCTAAGAAGCGATAAATTTAACTTTGACAAGGACGAGAAGGGTCGACGATTATCAAGGTTCATTAAACTTGAACCCAAAATAACGCTATTTATTACGTAACGCCACACACTGTAGCTTTAACAAAACAAACAAAGTACTTCGATCAGGATAATCTCACAATCACGGTTGAATTTAACACAAAAAAATCACCAGACAAAGTGAGCAGTAGTAGAAATCACCACCATCAACCGGTTAACAGGCCTAGTTAGTGGTTGTTAATGTCGCCCGATGAAAACAAAGACGACAGAGCCGTTAATTTGAGCCGTAGAGCGTGAATTTCTTCCCTCAGTCCCTATCAACCTTCTTCAACCTCGCAGATTAACGCTTCAAAGTGCACGCAAACTGCCAGCTTCGTAAGCAATCAATCAGTTTTTGAGATTGAGCATTATATTGCGCTTGGAACTTTCCAGCGTGCGCTGAGAGAACTTCCGGTTGGATCAATTGCATCTGCCAGGAGTCAAATAGTACTTCCGGTAGGTAAATTTGGCTATTTCCTGAGGTATTTAGTATCCTAGCTTCCTCTTCGAAAAAGTGAGGTGGATGTGGAACTTCTCCAAACAAATTGGTCACAAATCAATCGGAGAGTTTCAAATCACTCCTTTTTGATAAGCAATTACTAAAGGACAAAGTTTGAAAACAATCACAACAACTTTGACAACACATTTTTACATTTTGATTATTTATAAATTTTAATGACATTACAAATTAAATAGTAACATAATTTACTACTATTGTGAGTGATAACTGGCTAATTTACTACTATTGTCATAAAACAGTCCATGCACTCTACTGGTTTAACAAAGGAATAGGCTCCCAACTCAGCAAAGTGTTGGAAATATTTCAGGAAATAATTATGGCTGTAACAAAATCTCCATCTTGGATGAGGCATTGAAGTTAAATCCCTTGGTGTAATTGATGAGGAAGTAGAACTGAATTTTGTGGCCTTTTTAATGTATTGAACTTGATATCAAACAAAAATTTTAAACTTGTTTAATAAGGAACCTAATCATGAGAGATTATTGACTTGTCTGACTGACAGATCACACTTGGTTTTATGCACAATCTCTGAAATTTGCCATGTAATAAGTTGTGTTGTAGTTTCGGTGACCATTTAAAGATTCTTACAGGGAATAAAATTAAATCTCTTGTCAAAAGTAGTTTTATGTTTAAAGGTTTGATAAAATTAATTGAAATATTGTAAGGCATAGCGATGTTAAGGCTACTCAAATATTTGAATTAATACGATTGTTACGATAGTGAGGCACAACTATTCGACCATCGCTGAGCACTGCAGTAGAGAAAGGAGCATTCATCTCTCCTCTATTCTTTCCTTTTGATCCAAATTTGGTTATAAACTTTCCAGTCAGCTCAAATACCTGAACTCTGTGATTGTCTCTGTCACAGACCATCAGGTGTCCTGCCTTGTTAAAACAAACAACCGGAGGTAATTGAACTCCCCATCCCCCTCCCCCTTCTTTCCAAATTTGTACAAAAAAATTACCATTTCTATCAAACACTGTGATACAGTGATCAACATCAGGTCTGACACCATAAGATATTTACCACATTGAATGCAGTGAAAGGGGAAGGTAAAAGTACCCTCATTCCCGAGTTTACTTAAATAATGGCCATCAGGCGAAAATATCTTAATTGATTTGTTATCTCTATCAGCAACTATGATATTGCATACCAAATGATCTTAAGTAAGTTCCATCACTACTGAATACCTGATCCCTGTTGTTACAGACACCAGATACTAAAATTTAATCGCGTTCATTCGTTGCCACACCCCATGGACCTTTGAACGTTCCAGCAGACGAACCTTGTTGGCTAAAAGATAACACGGGTGTGAATTGTCTGGGTTTAACTTGAACCGGAAAGGGACTGTCTCGAACTTGTTCTTCGTTTACTTTGACTACTGCCCCTGCATCTTCCCGTTTCTTTGGCAAAATAGCTGATCTAGTAGCTGCCATCTTTTATATTTTGGACTCGCACTTCCGTGGCACGGTCATGGCCTTGTTGACTTTCGATTTCCACTGTTACTCAGTCACGGTTTTGATGGTATTTTTTTCCTTCAGCGTTTCTTGTTGTTAACACTAGGTTGGCTTGAATTCCAACAATTGCTTCCGTGAGTCCTTTTCCTTCAGCAGTTGATTGATCCGCTTTGGTCTCAGTTGTAAATACGCGGCCGATCCCTTCTTGTATTGTTTTTGGCTCTAAGGCCTCGTTTTCCTCGTAAATAATTTGACGCAGAGCTTGAAGGTCACAGTCCAGTTCTTCACGCTCATTCTCGACTTCTCTCGGGATTATTGTGTCTAGTGTCTCGTCTAACTTTGTATGCTCTGTATTTGTACCTCGTGTTCTAAAAGTGTTTCAGACTTTTCTGCAACTGTTTCGATGATTTTGACTTTGTGTTCAATATCGATCCTTTGTTTTCGAAAATGTTCCAGAGACTGTTGCGTCTGATGCTCCGCTTGACTAAAGATTTCCTGTTTCTTGTCTTCGATAACAGCGATCATGGTTTCAGCAAACTGTTGCGCGCTTAGTTTTACTTTGGCCACTTGTGTTTGGATTTGACCACAGCTGTCGCCGATTTTAATTAAAGATTTTTTGTCTCATCCTCTGCGCTTTTGCTTTCCTGGACTCAATGGAGGACAGGATGTGCAATTTCTTTTCATTTACCGCTTCTTCCAATAGCCAATAGTACCTTAACATGCCCATCGTGAGGGGTTGCAACGCATGAAATGCAAACAGCTTCCTCGCATCTCTTACAAAAGAATTCCAGTTAATTCTTTTCGTGGCCCGGTCGAGGACAGAATGCTGGTTGCTTTAACATACCTTCTAAGTCTTGATCTTCAAAATATTTTAGCGCTAGAACTCGATGATCCTTATTTGCGCGGAATACTTTGCACGGTGATACACTCGTCACACAAGAATGCATGCACAGCACTGGAAACAGTAGCCAAACTTTTCACTTTTCGTTTGTCACGCAGTTTCCACATCATTGACTCCAATAGAACTGCACTCCCTTATAGCCAATACATCAAGTAAGCTGTTGATGCGAAAATTTGTGGGCAGATCGCGAAGATTTCCTCTAGGGACTTGACTTTCCCTTCGACACTCAGGACATGTTATGACAGCATGGTGGCCACTCGTCCTTTGAATTCCTTCTAAACAGTGAAGGCAGTAACTGTGCAAACATGGCAGCTTTTTTGGTTGAGTAAATGTGACCATACACACAGAACAGGAAACTTCATCATGAAGATTGTCAAACAAGGTCTTGATATTCATGATTAATAGCTATAAACGGAGGCTTTCGCTACACGTATCAAAAACGACTGAAATCGTTTTCTTCTGATTGAAATGCTATTGATATTAACCAATTACATGCGAAGCTTGTAGGTATATTTCTAGGAATTCTGTAAGATTAGGTTGAACTCACACAGCCAAGGCTTAATGTTTAGCTTTAGACAGGTATGTTTTCAGTCAGATGACGGACAGTTTTTGGCAAGAGTGGTTGACCTTCGGTATGGCTTTGACTGATCGTGAAGATTAATTGACGGTGTTTGGAAAGAGCGTGATTTTAAAAAGGAATTACACGCATGATTTTTATGGTCAAATCTGTATTTAAGAGTGTTTTGTTTTGCGCAGAATATAGGTAGTTAAAGGGGCAATGGAAAGAGCTACTCTGTAGGAGTCCATGTATAGAGAGTCTTGCATTTCATTCTCTGCGTTTCTGTTTTCGTTAAGCTACGATGTTGGACAGAATGAGCAGGATTTATTTACCCCCATCCGGCATCCTCCTCCAAAGAAGTAGGGAAGGTAGGCAGAGACATATTTTTAAGACAACGGCGGCGACCATGAGAAGAATGCAACTTCCTGACATTGATGTACCCAGATATCTACTAATCTACTAGAATAACTTGTTATTAGAATTTTAAATCGATCCGATTGGTGGAAATTACCGTGGATGAAAAAATCCGTGCGAAACGCAAAGGAAAAGGCTCCTTAACTTCCTGCTTTTGTCTGTGAGCGAAACTGGTCAGAGCGTAATTAAGACGCTCTGACGAGGGACTAACGTTCGAAACGTCAGCTGTTTAACTCTTTACGGTGGCTAATTTACAATTTAAACTTAGTTTATAAAATTATACCAAATTACCTTGTTACCCCCACCGACGCAGCACGACTGTTTCTTTAGAAACATACCCTCTTTATTCATTGGTATTTGATAGGCGATTGTCCAATATGGTAGCTCTCGTCTCATTATAAATTATTTCAGCTGGGGATGAAAGGGCACACAGCAGTCGCGTGGTTTACTTTCTTACACAGATTATTCATCCACTTATGTATCTAAAAAATTGCGAAGGGTTTGTCACTTCACTACGCCTATGTTTAGGGGACGGAAGTAAGGCACCAGCTATTGTTTCAATTTGTATCGCCTGGGGGCGGGGAGGGGGTGTGCGGAGGAATTTTTGGGGGAATCAGGTGGTTTTAAGAGGGAAAGATGGGTGATCGATCAGTCTATGCAGAGTGCAAAGGAGGTGGACTATAGAAAATTGGCTGTCAATTAACAGGGGAGGATCATAAGGATATTACAGAGCCTCAGGGGGGGATCAGTTTAATTTTATCGGGACACAACCAAAATTGGTCCCCTCCCCAGGGGATGAATTATGACCGGCTCCTAAGTCTTCTCTCGCTGGCTACCAATCTCGTTTCCCTCTGACTCCTTTGCACTCATATTCTATGCCCCTCCCCCATTTCTTCCTGCCCTCTTTTCCTTTTCTTTGCCTACTTTTGCACTACCTCCTTTAGCTCTCTCTCTCTCTCCCATTTTTTCCCCTGCTCTTTCTTTTCTGGTTTGATCTCCCATACTGTCTAGATTCTTTCTTTAAACCATTCTCCCATTTACCCTCCCTCAGTCCTTGCATCTTTACCTCATCCTTCCTGTGTTCTTCTCACTTCGTTTTCCCTCTCCTTAACCTTCTACCTCAAGTCTCTACATCCCCTCCTCCCTCTCTTCCTCCTTCTCTTCCTACCCCCTCCTCCCTTAACCCTCCGCAGCGCCTAGACCCTACCCATTTCCTTCTTTCCTCTTTCTGTTCCTTCCATTCTCACAACATCGATCCCCTTTCCCTTCCTTCCCTTGTCTGCTTCGCTCTTCCAGCCAATTGCCTTTAAGTGTATTTATTGTCAGGTAAGGAGTCAGAGACTCGTCTTTTTTAAAGTTTTGTAGAAAATAAAAACAAGATGATCATCATTGTGATCGTTGTCGTTGGATTATTTTAACAATGTCAAGTTTTAGAGAAGGAGGGAGGGGTACCAGCGGCCTTAGTTACCAGTTCTTTCACGCTTGATTGCGAAACTGAACGGTGCGTCAGATCGGAACAAAACGGAACTGTGACCTGTGGCAGCGAACAATTCATCAAATTGCTTCTTATGGACGTCATCCTTTTCTTTTTCAAGGAGTCCACTTGTGTTTAGTGTGAAATTGAATCACTCTCGTAGGGAATACAAAGCAAAAAACTCGCAGATCAGCGTTTCGATCGACAATCGCGGCTTATAGTAACTTCGCCATTATTTGTCTTACAATTTTCACTTTGACTGTACTGAACTTGACAAGATATCTCGACTTCTTCTGTCCTGAATTCGTGGAAGAAGTTTTCTCTCGTGAAAGGTGAGTCATTTTAAAACTTAGGAAACATACGGATTAAGTAGCTACACAAAGTGGTTACAAGGTGAAATGTAAACTTTTATTTTAACATATTTGCCGACAAAAACAATGCAATGTTCTGTCTGTGGGGTTTTTGGATATGTACATATGCATTTAGAATATTGTTCCCCAGTTTACGTTAGCATTTACACGTAAGTGTAAGGTTTACTTTGTAAAATACACTTTTTATTGAAGATATGGTGGCAAACTCACTGCGATTAAATGTTCGAATTATCGCCGTGGATTAAACCCTTATTTTGATCAGGTGTCATGGCAACTTTACCCGCAGTTTTACAAGAAACATTTCAATAATTGTTGTTTTACTTGACGAATATATCGAAGGTAATCGACTAATTTTTATGTAAGGAAAAAGTATGCAAAAGATTAGCAAACAAAGTTATCCAGTCATTTTAATATACAAGAATTCCTGGCAGATGCCATTTGATATGAGTGAAATTTTTGAGAAGAAAGAGTTTTTCTTAAAACTTCAAAGGAATGAATGCCTATTTTTCTTTGGAAATTACGTTGGTTTTCAAGATCCAGAGAGAGAGATGAACAGGAGTCACCAATATTTATTTAACATTTAGTTGTAGATCATCAAGGGGACCTAGTTGTGTTCCTTGCTTGAGGTCCCATCTGGCAAGGGTCAGACAAATATCTATGCGCATTTTTGTGCCAAATGGAGGGTACTGTTGATGAAGATGTTTGGACGTGTAATATTGCTGAGTTGTGCCTATTTGATGAGCCTGTAGGCCAAGTCAGAATACTAGCAATGGGTAAAAACACTCAGCGATACTATACAGCAAAGTGTATAATAAGTTACTTATTATCCAACTGCTCTATTTTATGTCCATTTCTTATTAGCCAGGAGATGCAAAACTAAACAATTCTGTTAAAGAGGGTTTTTCACAACACCAAATAACCAAAAGTCCAAGTGACTGTACAACATCACAGGATATTTGTACCTAATTCATGTTTTTTTTGTACTCTTGTTAGCGCATTTGGATGATAAAATGATAAACCATTCAGTCTGTGTCAAATTCTCAAGCTGCTTACTCCAAAATTTTGTACAGATTGTTTTTGTTGGCGTGATATTTATCTGTCAATTATTGTTTTTTTTATTTTTTTGGACACCAGAAAAAATTAAAGGTTGACCTAGTTGAATTTGGAAGCTATGAATGGAAATATTGTTTTAAGTGACTTGAAACTATATTTAATAGTATTTGTTTTTTCCATAAGGTCGTAGTAGTAGTCTTTGTTATCCTATAATTTGTCACATGAACCCAAAGTTTAGATAAAAAATTAACGTGAACCACTTTTGAGAAGGTGAAGTGAAGGCCTTTATTTAAGTTTTCTTTTAAGGTGATTCCTCAGTATTGCTTTGCACATCCTGCACTGCACATAAAAATCATGTTATCAGGCGATTAAGTATGCATGCATTCCAGGAACTTAGTATTTTTCAATCAACGAATGAAGTAAAGAGGTACAATGGTCTTTAGCTCTTGAACAAGCATAGTGACTTATATTTTTATTGCATAATTTTGGGGTACAAGTTACCCCCTTTAAGTTGGAGAAATTAGAAACAAATCCATCAAAGGGAAAAAAAAGATTGCTTAAAGTGTGCATGAATCCTATTATATACTTGATGATGCAAATTATGACCTCGAAAGCAACAACTAGAGGAATGTTTTGAGTCGATTTTGTTTAAAATGTGTACTTTTTCCTCAAATTATATATCAAGCTGTTTGATACACTCAAGGCTTTCTACCTTTTAAGTTTTTTTTTAAGTGTTACAATAACTTTAAAACCCTTGCTTCCACATACAGTAAAATGTACTGTGAACTGATGACATGACCTACATGCTAAGTGCTAGTACAGGCATAAATGGCTTAGGATTGGCCCTTTGTATCTTTTAAATGAGCATGGTGTCCTAACTTTTTCATTGTTTTTTTCAAAAATGGAAATTGGAAGGGAACATTTAAGGATTTAAGTTTAAAAAATTTGTTTGATAACTTTTTTTTCTGAGGAATCATCTAATAACTTCCTGGGTTATGTATTTGGATATGTGTGCTGAAAGTTCAAAGAATATACAACAAGAAAAAAAGAAAGACTGATTGCCAGAGCCTAATTATTTTCCTGCACAGTAATTTACTATGAAACTACTCTGTTGTTGATTTATATGCTCATCTTTACTTTTGTGATAAGTTTTTGAATATTAAAATTAGAAAGAGCACCACAACTTTGACTTTTCAGTAGAGTTCTTTTAAGGGGCAAATTTAGCAAATTGCATAAATTTCAAAAGAAACATACAGGAATTTTGTTAACGCTCTGTGAAAAATGCATGGAAAACATTTTAAAACTTTACAGGAAAAGATAGGGAGCATTGGGAAAAAAGTCAACATTTCATGAGCCCCAATGGAAGACATCTTTTGTTTTATTCATTCTTAAAATTTAGAGAGTTGTTGCTTTTAATGTTTTTTTTTTTCACAAAAACACAGTATATTAAGTAAACATGATTAGGTTTTTGGACATCTGAAACACTGATAGGGACCCCTCTATGTGGGTATGAAGGAACAAAGTATTGGAAACTAAATTTTTGCACTGACAGTACGTAGAACCTCACTGAGTTGTTGAAACTTCAAATTAAGGGAACTGAGAACTAGTCAGGATACTTGGGAATTTGAATTAGGTGCTAAGAACTGACTGAAAAATGTAGATGTCTACCTTCAAGGGAAATGCTATCATGCTTGATTTACATTCTGGTGGGAAGGTTGAGTCCAGGAGGCCTCAAAATTATACCAAAGGAGTTCTCAGACTGGTAATGTGTTTAATTACTAGATTATCCAGGGATACGTGTAGCATCAAATTCAATGACATTGTTTTCTCTTACTTTAGCCCAGCCTGATAAACACAGTCCTGAACAGTCAGCTTAACCTTGCTTATGGGTTGTGGCTCTTCACAAGCTACCACGACAGGTAGGCTAACTCTCCTTTTTCTGAAAGAAACAATTATTCTGGCCTGAGTCTCATTATCATTATGTGTTCAGAGGTGGATACCCTCTATCTATGGAGGATCTTGCATTTTCTAGAAGAGTGGTAACTTGTTGATGAGGGCACTTGAGAAGTTAGATGTGATACATTCCCAAAATCTTAAACTTAGCTCTTGTCATGGCCTAATCACGATGGGTTTTTGAGTCTTTGATTTAGTTGCAAACGTCTTTCATGACAGTGTGATAGTGTTTTAAGTATCTAGGCTAGTGCAACTACAGTCTCCATTTCTACAAAACAATGGCTTTTTGTTAAAGTTCTGTTTTTTGTTTTTGTGCAGCATTGATGGGCCAACTTGTAATTTTGAACTACCTGAAATCAGCTAATAAATTTTTAATGATATTGGCCCAATTAGGAAACGTACTGAAATTTTTATTAATTAATTATTTTTTAATCCTTGAACTCCCTGTAGTGATTAACATGTAATGTCTCCGCATAATATCCAGCAAACAGGTAATGAGAATACTCAAGCAATCAATGAATCAAGTTTGTCTTTACATGAGGCATGGTTACCCAGATGCCAGAGCCAGAGGCACATGTATGAAACATAAGACACACCCACCCCAGGGGAGGACATCCACCACACAGTAATCTCATGCGTGGGAAATTAATGTCTCCTACCCCTAACCCTGCAGGAGACGGGGCCTGTGGTTTATTCATCCTTATCCGAGAAGACTAGAATATCTATCCATTTCTTGATATTCTAGAAATGTAGCAAATTCTCCTCATTTATGTTAAGACCATGAGTATTGGTCTGGCTGGAGCTTGAACCCTCGACCACCTGCATAACACAATCCAGCGCTCTAACCAATTGAGCTAACCAGGGGGCGGTTCAAACGGTTCGAACCTATCAGGTAGAAGTTGTTATCTTGATCTAACACCAAATTCTTGTAATTTATTTACAATGAAATGTGTAGCAGCTAGAGGGGAGAATTAACAATCAGATCTTGGGAGTTAAAGGGTTAACTGATTATTTGAGTTAATGATTATAAATGAACATGTATCTCATTAAAAAAAAAAAACAACAACAACAACAACAAAAAACAAAGTGTTTACAGCTGTTGACTTGTTGGCGAGCAACCTTGATAATTCTCATTTTGGAATCAGGTACCAACCCTGATTTAGTGGATTGAGTTGTCATCAGTAACAGAAAATAATTTCTTAATATTCTGTATATTAATTTTTTTCCAACTGGATTTTATATAAATGGAATGTTGACTGTTTGATTTAACACAAACTAATGAGATTTCTGCAATATGAAGGGAATCGGAATAAAGTTCCTGAAGTCCTGCGTGAATTTTTAGCCCATTGCAGTCTTTTACCCCCAATGCTTCATTATATCTCCCAAACAGTTTGCCAGCAGCAACTTGTATTCCTCTGGGTGGAGAGAAGCACTGTATGCTGTAGGGGTCTTGTCCAAGAATAAAGCCCTGTAGCCATTAACCCCTAAGAGTGATTGTTATCTAATTTCTCCACACAGTATTATTGCTGAATCAAAAGTAAAGGTCACGAGAATAAAGGAAACGATTGCCATCAAATTCTCCTTGTCAACACCATAAGAAATGGTGGAGAACATAGATACCCATGTTAGGGTGCAAAAGGTTATTAGACTGGTGAGGGTGTCAACCCAAATCTCATCTTTTCTTTGCCTGCCTGAAATTGGTTAAAATTGGATATTTTAGTAGTAGTTTTTGTCTTTTGGAAGAAGTGGCAGTGAGCGCATTCAACTTCTGATAGACAGGTGCAAGTTCAAGACCTGGTCAGGTCATTTTGTTGTGTTGTTGGGAAAGACACTTTACTTTCACAGTCCCTCTCTCCACCCAGGGATATAAATGAGTACTAGCAGACTGTTAGGGAAGCCTGATCAAATGCTGAGGGAAAGGAGGGTAGGGGGGAGGTACCTTACAATGTACTGGCATCCCATCCAGGGGAAGTAGCAATACCACTTGTTGTTGTAAACAGGATAAGCTCCAGCTGCATGGATCACTTGACCTCTCTCCACCAAGGGGCCTAGATGAGTATGAGCAGACTGTTAGGGCCGGGGAAGCTTGATTAAATGCTGAGGGGAAAGAGGGGGGATACCAATGCTACAGAAAACAGGGATAAGCTCTGGTTGCATGGAAGACTTGGCTCGAATGTAGACTTATTCTTTTATCTTATATCTTTGTCCTGCAGTTTCTCCGCAGCCTGCTCCAAAATTGAAGAGAATCAAAGAAGAGGATGAAAATGGTTGGTCAAAATAAGAGCACTTGCTTTCAAACTTTCAGCTCAACATTGTACAGATATAACCAGTCCTTTTACAGCACTAGGATTTTAAATCCCTAAAGTTAAGAGCTTTATTTATCCTCTAACAGAGCTTGTTTTTAATTAATTTTTTCAGCTCTTCAGTCGATTTCTAAACGAAGTTCATCCTCCCGCTCTTCAATAAAGGAGAGCAATGGGCATGCTCAGAGGATAACAGAAAATGGTGGACACGGTAAGGAAAAAACCTTTTAAAATCAGCCCGCTAACAAGAAGTGCTACTATGCGTAACGCGTTTAACCTGCGTCCAACAAGCGTCCATTTCGCGGTTTTCCAGGCACTCGGTCAGAGGAAACGTGCGAAAAAGCGGAGCGTGAATAATTGACACCTTTAATCGCCTGCTTCTATTTCGCTCGTCTGCACTGACGGAGAGCTTAGAACAGGCTACGGTTTTCTTGAACCGTCCAAAACTGCTTCCTAAAAGGTGCTGTCATTAAATCAATTTATTATATAGCTGAGAGCGCACGTGGGCAATATGAAACGAATCCTGTGTTCTGATTGGCTACCCGAGCGAGCAAAATGGACCCATCTTGCCCGCTCGGGATTGCCCGCTTTGATCCCGCGCAAGAAAAAAGGTACATGTAGCGGACTTGCAAAGTTCGTAACTGGACGATGTCGGTGATGAAGTTGCAAAAAGCGGCAGAAGAAAGTCAAAGCAACGCAAACACAAATGACCCTCGTGGATTTATTGTGCCAGAAACACAGGCGGCTTTCTTTTTTAGCATTTTTATGGATCTCGACCTCGTCTCGGTCCATAAAAATGGAAAAAAGGAACTTGGCCACCATCCAGTTATCTTGACCTCAAGCTTGGTCAATAACGCGTATGTATAGACTGACACAGAGTAGGAGTGTGATCTGCGCATGGGACGCGAAACTGTATGTTTACTCACCAAACTCGCCGGACAATCAGCAGAGATGCGCTCATTTGGATCTCCTAGTTAACAATTATTCCACGAGCGCGCGGTGGATATGAGATGAGCGCCGAGTTGGCTATAATCATCTCATATCCAACAAGCGTGAGTGGAATAATTGTTTTATTAAAAACGTTAAATTAAATTATTAAATTTTATTAAATTTTTAGCTCCCTTTTAATTTTAAGCTGACACGTACGCTTACCATATTTGTAGATTATGGTATATTGGCTGATATACCATTATGGCTAAGCCAATAAAAAGTCTTGAATTGCATTATCCAATAATCTAGTTTTTAATAAATGGTGTTATTCTACCTTTTTTCCCATTTTACACCATCGATTCGCTTGAGTAATGCCTTACCTCCTAGTGGTGAAGCTGTAAATTTGAAAAGGGAGTTCAATAGTTTTTAAAAAAATTAACATGGCTGATTTGAAAGATTTTAATAAACCCTTACATTTTCGTTGTAGGAAAAGAGTCGTCTATTAAGCAGACGCTTAAATCTGTGTCTCCGCCATCCTCTGCCATTGGTCGTGTTCCTCTTAGTGATTCTCCAAAGGGAAGTGCGAACAACAATAGAGACTCGGAGAGCACAAGTAGCGAAGAAGTTCATGAAAATGGTGGCACTGATGGTCCCGATAATACTGAACTATCCCCTGCTGAAGGAAATACCGGGATGGATACAACAGATGCCACAGACAATGTGACTCAGTCTAAAAATAGTGTTAGTTCCGTTCAAGAAAACCAATGTATTAAGGAAGAGCCACAGAAGGAAGGGTCGCCTACTTCGGATGGTGACGCGTCTCAAAGCAAAGTTACTGTAAATGAGGAGAAAGCTACCGAGAACCAAAGTACAGGTGTTGGTGAGAAAGGTGTTCATAATGATAGAGGAAACGAAGATTCACCTGAAGTTGTTAAAGACACCGTCGATGAAACCGGAGACGTTTCAGCAAGGGACGAAGTTGGTGAAGGGGTTGCTCAGATCGACTCAACGCAACAAAGTGAAGCGCAACAGAGAGTCATCAGTGAAGTCAGCATATCTGGCAAGAACGAAGAGGATCCCTCACAGGATGAGATTCAGGGTGTGAATGGAAAATTTCCTAATGAGGATAAAGAGGCTGCGGAGACTGACTTAATTCAGCAAAGGGTTGCCAGTGATGCTAGTTTACCTGTCGAGGTGGACAATACCGTCGCAACTAGTCAAACCAAGCGTTCCAGTATAGCATCAAGTCACCACTCCACCTTACCTTCGGATAGCGAAGTAAATGCTTTAATTCAGGAGTTAGATTCCGTATTACCTACTCCGGCAGATAAGACAAAACACTCTGATGCGAGTGAAGTCACAAAAGAGGATCCTTCATCGCCCGGCGGAGAAGACAGCTCAGGTGATAACAACCTTGGGCACGACTCTATGTCCGCCCCTGTCGAAGCTACGGAAGCAACAGAACCTTCTAAAGAGGATTCCGTGCTTGAAACTAAAGAAAGTGCAGCCCCTCTTGCCGAATCAACCGACGATTTTACGTTGAAGAGTAACAGTCCGATTTTTGGACGTATATGCACCTTGAGCGCGAGTGTCCTTGTAGGCTCCCTAGATAATCCACAAGGGGAACAAAATGTTACACTAACCGGATCTGTGTACCGTGTGCCCAGAATAGACGGGGGTGCGACCGCACCTAAACCGGGGGAAAAAATCGGGATCATTAAGGGGGACGTCACCTCAACACCTACTGATGATGAATCCAGTGTCCAATTAGCCACCCTTCGAGGAGATCTTTTGGCCGTTTCTGGAGAGGCAGCGTCGCAAGGACATGTCGCTACGGCCTCAATAGATGTTTTGTCTAGTGCGACTGGAGAAATAATAGCAACCATAACGGCGGATGTTGCTCCAAATGATGATGCAG